TATTTTTGTTTATTTTGGCTTGTCGATGCAATGGTGCACTTTTTATTTCTTAGAGCTACGGAAAAGAGATGATCCATGTAAACGATTTTCTCTGGAGCATCCCGAAAGTTTTTTTTCTTATTTATGTCATTATAGGAACCTTACAGAAAATCTTTTGCGGAATCTCTAGTTGACTTGAACCATTTACGGATAAACTGGAACAGACGCGTACCCATGGTGTAGTGGTTATCACATCCGCCTAACACGCGGAAGGTCCCAGGTTCGAAACCTGGTGGGTACATTTATTTTTGTTTATTTGGCTTGTCGATGCAATGGTGCACTTTTTATTTCTTAGAGCTATGGAAAAGAGATGATCCATGTAAACGATTTTCTCTGGAGCATCCCGAAAGTTTTTTTTCTTATTTATGTCATTATAGGAACCTTACAGAAAATCTTTTGCGGATCTCTAGTTGACTTGAACCATTTACGGATAAACTGGAACAGACGCGTACCCATGGTGTAGTGGTTATCACATCCGCCTAACACGCGGAAGGTCCCAGGTTCGAAACCTGGTGGGTACATTTATTTTTGTTTATTTGGCTTGTCGATGCAATGGTGCACTTTTTATTTCTTAGAGCTACGGAAAAGAGATGATCCATGTAAACGATTTTCTCTGGAGCATCCCGAAAGTTTTTTTTCTTATTTATGTCATTATAGGAACCTTACAGAAAATCTTTTGCGGATCTCTAGTTGACTTGAACCATTTACGGATAAACTGGGAACAGACGCGTACCCATGGTGTAGTGGTTATCACATCCGCCTAACACGCGGAAGGTCCCAGGTTCGAAACCTGGTGGGTACATTTATTTTTGTTTATTTTGGCTTGTCGATGCAATGGTGCACTTTTTATTTCTTAGAGCTATGGAAAAGAGATGATCCATGTAAACGATTTTCTCTGGAGCATCCCGAAAGTTTTTTTTCTTATTTATGTCATTATAGGAACCTTACAGAAAATCTTTTGCGATCTCTAGTTGACTTGAACCATTTACGGATAAACTGGAACAGACGCGTACCCATGGTGTAGTGGTTATCACATCCGCCTAACACGCGGAAGGTCCCAGGTTCGAAACCTGGTGGGTACATTTATTTTTGTTTATTTTGAGCTTGTCGATGCAATGGTGCACTTTTTATTTCTTAGAGCTATGGAAAAGAGATGATCCATGTAAACGATTTTCTCTGGAGCATCCCGAAAGTTTTTTCTTCTTATTTATGTCATTATAGGAACCTTACAGAAAATCTTTTGCGGATCTCTAGTTGACTTGAACCATTTACGGATAAACTGGGAACAGACGCGTACCCATGGTGTAGTGGTTATCACATCCGCCTAACACGCGGAAGGTCCCAGGTTCGAAACCTGGTGGGTACATTTATTTTTGTTTATTTTGGCTTGTCGATGCAATGGTGCACTTTTTATTTCTTAGAGCTATGGAAAAGAGATGATCCATGTAAACGATTTTCTCTGGAGCATCCCGAAAGTTTTTTTCTTATTTATGTCATTATAGGAACCTTACAGAAAATCTTTTGCGGATCTCTAGTTGACTTGAACCATTTACGGATAAACTGGGAACAGACGCGTACCCATGGTGTAGTGGTTATCACATCCGCCTAACACGCGGAAGGTCCCAGGTTCGAAACCTGGTGGGTACATTTATTTTTGTTTATTGTGCTTGTCGATGCAATGGTGCACTTTTATTTCTTAGAGCTACGGAAAAGAGATGATCCATGTGAACGATTTTCTCTGGAGCATCCCGAAAGTTTTTTTTCTTATTTATGTCATTATAGGAACCTACAGAAAATCTTTTGCGGAATTCTAGTTGACTTGAACCATTTACGGATAAACTGGGAACAGACGCGTACCCATGGTGTAGTGGTTATCACATCCGCCTAACACGCGGAAGGTCCCAGGTTCGAAACCTGGTGGGTACATTTATTTTTGTTTATTTGGCTTGTCGATGCAATGGTGCACTCTTTATTTCTTAGAGCTACGGAAAATAGATGATCCATGTGAACGATTTTCTCTGGAGCATCCCGAAAGTTTTTTTTCTTATTTATGTCATTATAGGAACCTACAGAAAATCTTTGGATCTCTAGTTGACTTGAACATTTACGGATAAACTGGGAACAGACGCGTACCCATGGTGTAGTGGTTATCACATCCGCCTAACACGCGGAAGGTCCCAGGTTCGAAACCTGGTGGGTACATTTATTTTTGTTTATTTGGCTTGTCGATGCAATGGTGCACTTTTTATTTCTTAGAGCTACGGAAAAAGATGATCCATGTAAACGATTTTCTCTGGAGCATCCCGAAAGTTTTTTTTCTTATTTATGTCATTATAGGAACCTTACAGAAAATCTTTTGCGATTCTAGTTGACTTGAACCATTTACGGATAAACTGGGAACAGACGCGTACCCATGGTGTAGTGGTTATCACATCCGCCTAACACGCGGAAGGTCCCAGGTTCGAAACCTGGTGGGTACATTTATTTTTGTTTATTTTGAGCTTGTCGATGCAATGGTGCACTTTTTATTTCTTAGAGCTATGGAAAAGAGATGATCCATGTAAACGATTTTCTCTGGAGCATCCCGAAAGTTTTTTCTTCTTATTTATGTCATTATAGGAACTTTACAGAAAATCTTTTGCGGAATCTCTAGTGGACTGGAATCATTTACGGATAAACTGGAACAGACGCGTACCCATGGTGTAGTGGTTATCACATCCGCCTAACACGCGGAAGGTCCCAGGTTCGAAACCTGGTGGGTACATTTATTTTTGTTTATTTTGAGCTTGTCGATGCAATGGTGCACTTTTTATTTCTTAGAGCTATGGAAAAGAGATGATCCATGTAAACGATTTTCTCTGGAGCATCCCGAAAGTTTTTTCTTCTTATTTATGTCATTATAGGAACCTTACAGAAAATCTTTTGCGGAATCTCTAGTTGACTTGAACCATTTACGGATAAACTGGAACAGACGCGTACCCATGGTGTAGTGGTTATCACATCCGCCTAACACGCGGAAGGTCCCAGGTTCGAAACCTGGTGGGTACATTTATTTTTGTTTATTTTGAGCTTGTCGATGCAATGGTGCACTTTTTATTTCTTAGAGCTATGGAAAAGAGATGATCCATGTAAACGATTTTCTCTGGAGCATCCCGAAAGTTTTTTCTTCTTATTTATGTCATTATAGGAACTTTACAGAAAATCTTTTGCGGAATCTCTAGTTGACTGAACATTTACGGATAAACTGGAACAGACGCGTACCCATGGTGTAGTGGTTATCACATCCGCCTAACACGCGGAAGGTCCCAGGTTCGAAACCTGGTGGGTACATTTATTTTTGTTTATTTTGAGCTTGTCGATGCAATGGTGCACTTTTTATTTCTTAGAGCTATGGAAAAGAGATGATCCATGTAAACGATTTTCTCTGGAGCATCCCGAAAGTTTTTTCTTCTTATTTATGTCATTATAGGAACCTTACAGAAAATCTTTTGCGGAATCTCTAGTTGACTTGAACCATTTACGGATAAACTGGGAACAGACGCGTACCCATGGTGTAGTGGTTATCACATCCGCCTAACACGCGGAAGGTCCCAGGTTCGAAACCTGGTGGGTACATTTATTTTTGTTTATTTGGCTTGTCGATGCAATGGTGCACTTTTTATTTCTTAGAGCTACGGAAAAGAGATGATCCTGTAAACGATTTTCTCTGGAGCATCCCGAAAGTTTTTTTTCTTATTTATGTCATTATAGGAACCTACAGAAAATCTTTTGCGATTCTAGTTGACTTGAACCATTTACGGATAAACTGGGAACAGACGCGTACCCATGGTGTAGTGGTTATCACATCCGCCTAACACGCGGAAGGTCCCAGGTTCGAAACCTGGTGGGTACATTTATTTTTGTTTATTTTGAGCTTGTCGATGCAATGGTGCACTTTTTATTTCTTAGAGCTATGGAAAAGAGATGATCCATGTAAACGATTTTCTCTGGAGCATCCCGAAAGTTTTTTCTTCTTATTTATGTCATTATAGGAACTTTACAGAAAATCTTTTGCGGAATCTCTAGTTGACTGGAATCATTTACGGATAAACTGGGAACAGACGCGTACCCATGGTGTAGTGGTTATCACATCCGCCTAACACGCGGAAGGTCCCAGGTTCGAAACCTGGTGGGTACATTTATTTTTGTTTATTTTGAGCTTGTCGATGCAATGGTGCACTTTTTATTTCTTAGAGCTATGGAAAAAAGATGATCCATGTAAACGATTTTCTCTGGAGCATCCCGAAAGTTTTTTCTTCTTATTTATGTCATTATAGGAACCTTACAGAAAATCTTTTGCGGTATCTCTAGTTGACTTGAACCATTTACGGATAAACTGGGAACAGACGCGTACCCATGGTGTAGTGGTTATCACATCCGCCTAACACGCGGAAGGTCCCAGGTTCGAAACCTGGTGGGTACATTTATTTTTGTTTATTTTGAGCTTGTCGATGCAATGGTGCACTTTTTATTTCTTAGAGCTATGGAAAAGAGATGATCCATGTAAACGATTTTCTCTGGAGCATCCCGAAAGTTTTTTCTTCTTATTTATGTCATTATAGGAAACTTACAGAAAATCTTTTGCGGAATCTCTAGTCGACTAGAATCATTTACGGATAAGCTGGGAACAGACGCGTACCCATGGTGTAGTGGTTATCACATCCGCCTAACACGCGGAAGGTCCCAGGTTCGAAACCTGGTGGGTACATTTATTTTTGTTTACATTGTGCTTGTCGATGCAATGTTGCACTCTTTATTTTTTAGAGCTACGGAAAAGAAATGATCACACTATGAACGATTTTCTCTGGAGCATCCCGAAAGTTTTCCTTTTCTTATTTATTTCACTATAGGAACCATACAGAAAATCTTTTGCGGAATATCTAGTTGACTTGAACATTTACGGATAAACTGGGAACAGACTCGTACCCATGGTATAGTGGTTATCATATCCGCCTCAAACGCGGAATGTCCCAGGTTTGAAATCTGGTGGGTAGATTTCCTTTCTTTTGTGGGTGTCGATGGAATGGTGCACTCTTTATTTCTTAGCGCTACAGAAGAGAGATAATCCCTGTAAACGATTTTCTCTGGAGCATCCCGAAAGTTTTTTTTCTTATTTATGTCATTATAGGAACCTAACAGAAAATCTTTTCTAGTTGACTTGAACCATTTACGGATAAACTGGGAACAGATGCGTACCCATGGTGTAGTGGTTATCACATCCGCCTAACACGCGGAAGGTCCCAGGTTCGAAACGTGGTGGGTACATTTATTTTGTGCTTGTCGATGCAATATTGAACTTTTTATTTTTTAGAGCTACAAAAAAAGCGCTGATCACTGTGAACGATTTTCTCTGGAGCATCCCGAAAGTTTTTTTTCTTATTTATGTCATTATAGGAACCTAACAGAAAATCTTTTCTAGTTGACTTGAACCATTTACGGATAAACAGGGAACAGATGCGTACCCATGGTGTAGTGGTTATCACATCCGCCTAACACGCGGAAGGTCCCAGGTTCGAAACCTGGTGGGTACATTTATTTTTGTTTATTTTGAGCTTGTCGATGCAATGGTGCATTTTTTATTTCTTAGAGCTATGGAAAAGAGATGATCCATGTAAACGATTTTCTCTGGAGCATCCCGAAAGTTTTTTCTTCTTATTTATGTCATTATAGGAACTTTACAGAAAATCTTTTGCGGAATCTCTAGTGGACTGGAATCATTTACGGATAAACTGGGAACAGACGCGTACCCATGGTGTAGTGGTTATCACATCCGCCTAACACGCGGAAGGTCCCAGGTTCGAAACCTGGTGGGTACATTTATTTTTGTTTATTTTGAGCTTGTCGATGCAATGGTGCACTTTTTATTTCTTAGAGCTATGGAAAAAGATGATCCATGTAAACGATTTTCTCTGGAGCATCCCGAAAGTTTTTTCTTCTTATTTATGTCATTATAGGAACCTTACAGAAAATCTTTTGCGGTATCTCTAGTTGACTTGAACCATTTACGGATAAACTGGAACAGACGCGTACCCATGGTGTAGTGGTTATCACATCCGCCTAACACGCGGAAGGTCCCAGGTTCGAAACCTGGTGGGTACATTTATTTTGTTTATTTGGCTTGTCGATGCAATGGTGCACTTTTTATTTCTTAGAGCTATGGAAAAGAGATGATCCATGTAAACGATTTTCTCTGGAGCATCCCGAAAGTTTTTTCTTCTTATTTATGTCATTATAGGAACTTTACAGAAAATCTTTTGCGGATCTCTAGTGACTTGAATCATTTACGGATAACTGGGAACAGACGCGTACCCATGGTGTAGTGGTTATCACATCCGCCTAACACGCGGAAGGTCCCAGGTTCGAAACCTGGTGGGTACATTTATTTTTGTTTATTTTGGCTTGTCGATGCAATGGTGCACTTTTTATTTCTTAGAGCTATGGAAAAGAGATGATCCATGTAAACGATTTTCTCTGGAGCATCCCGAAAGTTTTTTCTTCTTATTTATGTCATTATAGAAACTTACAGAAAATCTTTTGCGGATCTCTAGTTGACTGAACATTTACGGATAAACTGGAACAGACGCGTACCCATGGTGTAGTGGTTATCACATCCGCCTAACACGCGGAAGGTCCCAGGTTCGAAACCTGGTGGGTACATTTATTTTTGTTTATTTTGGCTTGTCGATGCAATGGTGCACTTTTTATTTCTTAGAGCTATGGAAAAGAGATGATCCATGTAAACGATTTTCTCTGGAGCATCCCGAAAGTTTTTTTTCTTATTTATGTCATTATAGGAACCTATACAGAAAATCTTTTCGAATCTCTAGTTGACTTGAACCATTTACGGATAAACTGGGAACCGACGCGTACCCATGGTGTAGTGGTTATCACATCCGCCTAACACGCGGAAGGTCCCAGGTTCGAAACCTGGTGGGTATATTTATTTTTGTTTATTTTGTGCTTTTCGATGCAATGGTGCACTTTTTATTTCTTAGAGCTATGGAAAAGAGATGATCCATGTAAACGATTTTCTCTGGAGCATCCCGAAAGTTTTTTCTTCTTATTTATGTCATTATAGGAACCTTACAGAAAATCTTTTGCGGTATCTCTAGTTGACTCGAACCATTTATGGATAAACTGAGAACAGACGCGTACCCATGGTGTAGTGGTTATCACATCCGCCTAACACGCGGAAGGTCCCAGGTTCGAAACCTGGTGGGTACATTTATTTTTGTTTATTTTGAGCTTGTCGATGCAATGGTGCACTTTTTATTTCTTAGAGCTATGGAAAAGAGATGATCCATGTAAACGATTTTCTCTGGAGCATCCCGAAAGTTTTTTTTCTTATTTATGTCATTATAGGAACTTACAGAAAATCTTTGCGGAATCTCTAGTTGACTTGAATCATTTACGGATAAATGGGAACAGACGCGTACCCATGGTGTAGTGGTTATCACATCCGCCTAACACGCGGAAGGTCCCAGGTTCGAAACCTGGTGGTACATTTATTTTTGTTTATTTGTGCTTGTCGATGCAATGGTGCACTCTTTATTTCTTAGAGCTACGGAAAAGAGATGATCCCTGTGAACGATTTTCTCTGGAGCATCCCGAAAGTTTTTTTTTTATTTATGTCATTATAAAAAACCTAACAGAAAATTTTTTCTAGTTGACTTGAACCATTTACGGATAAACTGGGAACAGACGCGTACCCATGGTGTAGTGGTTATCACATCCGCCTAACACGCGGAAGGTCCAGGTTCGAAACCTGGTGGGTACATTTATTTTTGTTTACATTGTGCTTGTCGATGCAATGTTGCACTCTTTATTTTTTAGAGCTACGGAAAAGAGATGATCCATGTAAACGATTTTCTCTGGAGCATCCCGAAAGTTTTTTTTCTTATTTATTTCACTATAGGAACCATACAGAAAATCTTTTGCGGAATTCTAGTTGACTTGAACCATTTACGGATAAACTGGGAACAGACTCGTACCCATGGTATAGTGGTTATCATATCCGCCTCAAACGCGGAATGTCCCAGGTTTGAAATCTGGTGGGTAGATTTCCTTTCTTTTGTGGGTGTCGATGGAATGGTGCACTCTTTATTTCTTAGCGCTACAGAAGAGAGATAATCCCTGTGAACGATTTTCTCTGGAGCATCCCGAAAGTTTTTTTTCTTATTTATGTCATTATAGGAACCTAACAGAAAATCTTTTCTAGTTGACTTGAACCATTTACGGATAAACTGAGCAGATGCGTACCATGGTGTAGTGGTTATCACATCCGCCTAACACGCGGAAGGTCCCAGGTTCGAAACCTGGTGGGTACATTTATTTTTGTGGCTTGTCGATGCAATATTGCACTTTTTATTTTTAGAGCTAAAAAAGCGATGATCACTGTGAACGATTTTCTCTGGAGCATCCCGAAAGTTTTTTTTCTTATTTATGTCATTATAAAAAACCTAACAGAAAATCTTTTCTAGTTGACTTGAACCATTTACGGATAAACAGGGAACAGACGCGTACCATGTGTAGTGGTTATCACATCCGCCTAACACGCGGAAGGTCCCAGGTTCGAAACCT